GTGAAAAAGTAAAAGATTTACAGTAAATACTATTAATGAATCAAGGCAAATGAGTAAGCTATTAATTAATGAAATATAAATAATTTAAGAAAAATTTTTACAGTTTATCTTAAATTCAACTGGAAAAATATTTGTTTTGATTGTTTAGAGTTTATTTAGCATGAAGGAAGTGAAGTGAAGAAAGGGAATGACTGCATTGTCCTATCAAAATTCTATTACCATTATTTGTTTCAAAAAAAAAAAAGAAGAAGCAGAGTTCCATTTCTTACCCTCGTTTAGTTACATTAAAATTTAATTAAATAATAATAATAATATAATGAAATGAAATATAATCCCTTTTTTCTTTTTAAATTATTTTTTGTTATTCAAATAGGGAAGTTTCTTAGTATTACTTAATTCAAACTAGTAAGTTAATAAAATTTAATGGTTAAGGTTTTTTTTTTTTTTATAATTTTATATTATATAATGAGAAATAACTCTTTTTTATTCTTTATTTCACTTTATCTGTATGTCGTGTAATTTAAATTTAAAAATTGTTATTTTTAACAAAAAAATTATCATTAAATTATTAGTTTAAGTTTTAAATATAACATTTTAGATAGTTGTATGGGATTTACTTGTACCGACGAGAGAACATCCTGATGGTACAAATAAAAAAAACTTCTACATTAGTTTGTGAAAGTTAATATATACCGTGATTTGAGACTGTTTTAAATTTCTTTAACATCTAATTAGCCACCTACTTCCGGATGCAAGAATAACCCCTGTTACAAGTGATTTTTCCTCCTAAAATTACTTGCCCAGTTTAAGGATTAATCCCAGTCCAAGGAGCAATGCAAATCCTTTTGTTCTTTGAAACTACTCTTAAGTTAATCTCTGTTAAAGAGTAAGTGTGTCCAAGGATTTAGCTCACAAACAACTCTCCCATATAGCTCCAAAAATTTTGAGAAGATGATGAAATGTCAAGAATGCTTCAAGAAGGATTTAAGCTTAAATTCAAAAGTTGTCTTCAAAAACCAATGCTCTTGGTTTTTAATTTCTTCAAGTTTTGTAGATGTGCCTCCCATCTCATCCAATCATATTTCAATCTCATTTTAAGTCTTGGAAGTATGTTGGGAAGCTTTATGTCTTGAAAATGCACAAGCCCTTTTCTTCACGCTAAGCATTGGGTATGGGTATGTATGATATTTGTGGATACTTAATATCATACAATTTTCGTACAGTCCATTCTATAAAACACTTTTCATATATATATATATATGTACATGAAGTAGATAAATTTTTAACTTTGTTATTGGTAATATTTTTGAAAAATTTATGAATCCACTTAATGTATTAGTATTTTTTTTTTCTTGTATCTACTTATAGATATAGATTTTGCTTTTACTTCTTGAAGAGCAAAGAGATTCAATGGAATCTTGATTTTAGAGATAGTTAGCAATATACGAGTATACTTTGAATCTCAAATTAAAATACTTCATTAATTAAATGAAATTATCATTACAATTTATACAACATTTGC